CCACTAATCGGAGTTTCTAGAAAAATTTTTTTTTCAAGAAATCAGTCTATTTCACTTTGTGATTATAAAAAGAATTTCACCATCAAAGACTGCATCCGTTTGTTAGCAGAATCATGGAATTCTGTTTCCTAAATAACATTTGTAAATGGCTACTGTAATGTGTGACCATTTTCTGTGTTAATTGAAACTGAGAGCAATGACAGTGAATTTTCTGGTTATAGGGTCAGTGTAAGCAAGGCTAAAGCAAGAGAATTGCTCCTGTATTTGAAAGGATGGACAAATGAGGAGGCTTTGCAAGAAGATATAGTCAAATGGACGATGTGTCCAGTTAAGTCAGAAATAGCATATCAGGTGACCAATGATGAAATTAATGGCTGTGTTTTGAACTCATCACAGCAAGACGATTCTGACGCTGCCACAGATAGTGAATTTGATAGGAGTGAGAAAATGTCTTTTAATGAATGTTTTGAACATGGTGAAAAATACCTAAAATAATTAGAACAACAGACCTGTGACTTAGAGCAAGAGATGATGACTCTGCATAATTTACAAAATAAATTTTTACTGGAGCACCCTAAAGATTTAAAACAAACCTCTGTCAGAAAAATATTTGAAACCTGTTAAAAAAATGAAATATATTATCCCTTATGTTCCTTATTGTAATATGTCTTTGTTACATATGCCCTTATTTATTTTGCACTTTTAGTCTAAATATCATGATTTATCTTTTCTGTCCTGAAATCTGCAAAATTCTAAAATCCCCAAAACCTCTGGTTCCAAGCATTGCGGATTTTGGGACTTCTAGTGTATTTGTAATTGCAAAAGTGCCTTAAATATGAAACATTCATGTTTTCATATTTTTAAAGTAAACAAAAACAGTGTAAAATATTAAATCTAACTTTTTACACATTCCTCCTGTTGCTAAGCATATATTTAGGGAAATTTTATACTCATCCTAAAAAACTTAAGTACAAGTTGTTTAACTCCTGTATGACAAAAATTGACCATTATATCGAATTTCAAAACTTGTGATATTTGATGTCATTTTGAATTTGCGTTTGTGAGGTCAGTAAATAAATAGGTATGGATAATTGAAGATTGATTTCCTTCCCTTAAATATCATTCAATGATATTCTTTTGTGCTATATTAGTAATGCTAAAAGTAAATAAAATTCTTTGTTTATAAATAAATAAAATTCTTTATTATATTAAAACTGAATAAAATTCTTCATTTATAATTTTGTTACACTTGGTGTGCCAAACGCATTTTTAAACAAGTAATTTATGAGTTTTTAAAGTCTAACAGTACATGAACCGCTTTCCTTACAAATGCTTTGAAAAAAATTGCAAAAAATCATCACATTTTTTTAATTTTATTATTAAATACAAAGAAGCGAAACAAAACAAAATATGTAGGTTTTTATGTTGAATTTAAAATTTTTTACATGTGTAAAAGCATTTAGTTTTAATATTAGTTTACTATCCCGAGTTATCTCGGGCAAATGAAAAAATGTTAAATATTAGTCTTTGTATGATAGTTTTTGAAACAAGGGACAACAGAAAGTGATACCTGGCATTCTATACACTGGCAATCTGGTTTCTTTTCTTACTGGCTTACCTCTGGAATCTCTTTTATGGCAGCACAGAGTACACTATTTCGTTGGATTTAATTTTTTCAGTAGCAGGAATAACATCTGGAAAATGTCCACCTCTTCATAATCACTATCTAAAAAATCATTGCTTTTGCTATCTTGCATCATCGCCATTATTTTACTTTTTTTCAACACAACTATCCTTCTTTATACATTACTAATCCATCTATTCTTTGTTTTACTGCCTCACAAATGGTTCAGTTTCATCAATGCAGGATACAGAAGATAGGAGGTATATCAGTACAATGTGCATATGAACTTGGATAAAGAAGAATGAACTACCTAGACATGAGCTGAAGCAAGGATCTACCTGCATAAAGTGGTAATATGCATTGGTGTCATTCATATGGATATTCCTTTAAGAACCTTTCCTGCTAGGTATAAGGATCACTGCAAATCTCTATCATTAGCAACTAGAGCCATTGACAAACTTGGTGAAGTCTGAGCTAGATGTTATTCAGTTTCCTTATAGTAGTATATCCACTAGTTTTGAGCAAACAGCCAAAAGCTAGTGAAGCTGGGGTTGGAATTTTTCCTTTTTTTTTTTTTTTGTTTTTGTTTAGTCCAGATTTTTCACTAACAGATGGTCTCATTTTCTGGTCAGACATCTGTGCCTTTGAAGAAAAGACCTTCACCAAAAATGAGATACATGAATGGATTGCCACACATCTTCACTTCTCAAGGGACAAAATCATAGTCTGCCTGAATGTTGACGGAAAGTTGTTGATATGAACAGTGACTATATTTGCATCGATCAGCTTTTGGTTTTATTCAGAATCAAAATCCATGATAATGCTTTCCCCCCCAGAACATCTCTAAAAATCCAATATGATTTAGAAAAATCACATAATGTTTAAAAGTAATTATGTATGTTAATTTATGGAATTGAATAGAGTATACTAATGATATCAGGAATCGGTTTCTGTAAATATTTCATTAATGTATACTAAAATATACATGAGAAAGCATCAGTATGCCAGAATCTTAATATTAATATTTCATAAACATTTCTTTATTGAGAGGAATCTGAATTTGAAAAAAGTTAAGAAATGTATGCTGGCGAATTGCAAAACATTTGAAGTTTTATAAAAAACATGAAGCAACCGAAAATTATAGGTCTTTTTAGGAATAAATGGTATCCAATTTGAAGAACTTTTCAGCTCCTTTATAAATTTATTTAAAGGAAAAAGAATTCAATTTTATGATAGTCCTATATTCATCCTCAAATTTCTGTTTTTCTGTATATAAGGTGCTTCAGCAATCTGCAAATACTTAGCTCTCTGAACTGTTATAGGAATCACAACTAAATGGTTAGCATGGGTACAGTAATAAATTTATTGCAGCATGAATTTTTGTGATTATTTTTTTGATATTATTAAGAATTTCACATATTCTGCATATATAAAAAAATATGCAAATTTCAGGCTTATTTCTTTTATTGTAATTGGATTTTTTTTCATATTAAAATAATTTTAATATTTTTGCCAAGGTATCTTTACTAAAGAATGGTGACAGGAATTACAGAAGTTACAAAATAGCAGAAATTATATCAGAGAAAATGTGTTGGTATAATGCAGTGGATCAACAAATTTTTTTATTTTGATTACATTATGACATTGCCAGAATTTGTTAGATTTATAAATATATCAATTTGAAAACATATGTTATATGATAGTTATTCATGTCATTGTTTCATATCTGGGATGAATTTCTTAGAGATGTCAGTCTAAATTCTCAGATGCAGGATATTTGCAAAACTGTCTCTGTAATCCTGTTGTGGGAATGTTAGCTGAAATTGGTGAAATCATTTGTTCAAATTGTATTTCGTAGTTTTTTCCTGATTTACCATATGACTGCCCATGAATTTTGTCTTATTTCTGCAGCCTTAAATATGGGTGACTTTTAAGAAGTGCTACCTGTTGAAAGGTATCAGCATAATGAATGGATTTTGCTTGAAATGTTCATGTGGGAAAAGGAGCATACGATACATTAATCTGAGCTAGAATTTTCTCAAAACTGCAATGGTTCATTTAGATTTTATATCTTTATTCATTAAGGAGATAGCAACCTATGAAGGTAATCTAAATACGCTGTTTATGCTATGCTGTCATTCTAGGTGACGCAGCATTGACAGCGACTGTCTAGAAACAAATTCATATTATTATTACAAGACAGAAGATACTGTATTATTGTTAATGAGGTTAACAGTATTCACGTCCACACCTCAAAGCCAAGCTATTAAGAAAGAGTAAGTGAAACTGGATCATTGAAGGGCAAACCCCACAATGGACATTCAAAAATTGCTATGAGGCAATAGTCATGCAGTTACACTGCTGTTGTGAAAAATCCTAAATATAGTACTTGTCACGTGCCACTGAGAACAGATGCCACCAAAGTTCATTTTTATTGTTGTTACACCCAAATGGTTCCTGGAAAGATTCAACTCATAAAATAATGGTAATATGATAGATGCATCCATTTCACAATATATGATAGACAGGGGATCTGTTATGAATCTTTAAGTTGTAGTTGAGGATTCTGTTTAAAGATGTTGTAGAATTAACAAACTAAACCATAGATACTGGTGGGACTTCAATCCATCACAGATAAATCCCATCAGAATCATGTTAAAATGCTTTGCCTCCACTTGTTTTGGTGATTTCAATTCATTCTCGGACCACCAGCACTGTGCTAGATCAACTGCAATAAAGAAATAAACCATTTACATCAATTTAATAGAGAATTACCTTTTTAAGAAACGAAGATATTAAATTGCTTGCAGTCGGTTGGCAAGAGGGGTAAAAGTTACTTATTTTGATACTAGATTTAATACCTACATTTTTTCTTTCTCCGGATGTTTTCCACTTGTTTAGAGAAGACTGAATTTATGTAATCTTTTTCTACTTTGATCACAATTATAAATGTTCAGAATTTTTACTGCCAGGGTAAATTTTCTATATTATGCAAAATATAAAGCAATGATTTACTGACATTATAATTTATATTTATATTGGCAATTTGTTGTAATTGATCATTGACAATACCCTGTTCTTCAGCTCTGAATTTAGCATTTTTATCCTTTGTTAGTTCAGTCAATGAATGAACATATTACACTCAAAAAATGTAAAATGAAAATGAAGGTGGAATCATGTATTTATTGTGAGGAAAGATAGTAAAAGTGTAGACTTTATTCCAGATTTTATATTTCTGTTCTAAATGGGAATATCTAGCCATTGTTTACTGTATTATTTGTTTTAGCGTTTTGTATATTTGTTGTATAAAGTAAAATACATTTTAACTAATGTGATATTTTACATTTTAACTAATGTGATATTTTATATTTTCTAGAAAAGCGACATAGAAATATGGAGGAGGCCAATAAGTCCCATCAGCAGTAATGGGAAATATTCTTATGCTCTAGTTTTTTTTAATCGCAGAACACTAGGAGGACCGACAAAAGTCACTGCTAATTTAGAATCAATGGGACTTGACAACTCAAAGTGCTATCTTATATATGATGTTTTTCTTGTTGAAGACGTGAACAAATTTTGTCCTTCTGATAATATAACTGTAACTGTAAATCCATCTGGCATAACAATGCTTAAAGCAAAAGTTATCAGTTAGTTTTTGTAATCAGTTTCTAATGGAAAACACTTCTTATTTATTTATGGCTATAAAATTTACATGAAACTGAATGAAATTTTTATCAATTTCCTGTTGATAATTTAACATAAATCATAAATATAATTATGTAAATATATTTTATTTTAGAATCAGAGAAATGGAACAATTTTGATAATAAAATAGAAGTACTGTGCAAGTTGCCATATAAAGTTTCTTTATGAAGGAAAAATGTGAACTTAGACTGATTCTTACTTAGTTTATAACGTAAATACATAGCATAGAAATATGCAGTTTTCAGTTAAACACATAATCAAACTATGTACATATTTTTTTAATATTTTTGTTGAATGAGACTTTCAACGTAACATGTACTAGCTTTTTAAAAATAGATGTTGCATTATAATATGAAATTTTGTATGGTCAATAATTTAGTTTTTTAAAATTTTATTATGCTATAATAACTATGAAATATGTGTCAGGTCATTAATACTTAATGCAATAATTTAACAATAAGGCAAATAATCCTATTTCTGTGACACTGCCATGTACAAGCCTTGATTATTCTCTTCAGTTTTATTAGACTAAAGCCTAATTATGCACATGACAGTAATTGGTCCTTAGTTTCATAGTCTCAAGCCCTTATAGTCAGTTTAGGAGATTGCAGAATTTACCAATAATTCAGAAAAAGACAAGACTTTCCTCTTCATGAAAAATAAATAATCAGTGAACCTTGGAAGAGTGTTGTGCTTAGATTTGGAAATGTCTTTATCAGATACTGCCCATGGTTATACTTTGTTTAGAAACAATAATTGCCATCGGGATAACAGAAAAAACAAGTATATCAGAAAATGCTATGTTAATGATATACAGTGCCTTGAATCTTACAGGATGATATCACAAGGATGAATAATTGTAACTTCTACTAATAAAACAAACAATTTGTATCTAGCAAACTAAATTTAATGCTAAGCATATCGCTTTATGCTGGTTTTCATATGGTATGGTATTATGGTGTTTGAAAAACAAAGCTATTTAAATAGCAAAACAATGGTCATTTGGAAGAGTATTTAAAATTACATTTGTATCTCAATTGCAGTTTCTCTGCTGTGCATGTTGTTCCATTACATTTATTATTTTTCACAGACGCGTGTGTATAAGTACAGTAAAGATATATTGCTGCAACTTTATTTTTTCAATGTACTGGATTTCCCATTTGAATTAAAAGATTTCATCATTCTAATATCTACCACATCTTTGATCTTAAAATGTTAACTGATATTAATAGGAATTTCTATACAAAATTAAAATATCAAAAAGATAGTTGGTTTCTGTCAGAAAGAAAAAAATTGTCATATTTTATAATTTGCATGGTTTAGGCATTTATCTCCCTCCAAAGATTAGTGAATAATGTGGGGAAAAAGGGGATGAAGAAAACTATTATTTTGTCTTCTAACCCTTAAGAATTTTTGAAACATGTTAATCATTCCCAGCTGATCTTAAAATGTTCAATGCCAAGCTTCTTCACAATATTAAAGCTTTTTTTTATACATTTCAGTCAACAAAATAAATTGTTATTGATATGCTCACAAAGTTTCTGTTCTAGCTATGAAAATTTTCCTTTTTTCTTCAGGTACAGGTAGAAGCTATTTTGGCACCTCTGTAATAAAATAGATGATTGAGGTATTGCTGTACCTAGCTAATTTTTTGATTCTGCCCCAGTTTGGAACCCTGAGAGAGAAAACTCTGGGGAGCATCTGAGTTTCTCCCACTGTTATTCCGCTATCACCAACCTCTCATGATGATTTTGGTTTGCCATATATTTAAAATGCCATCTTGTCACATAGAGACTATATGCTTACATTTGTCTATGCTTTCTTCAGGATCCAAACCCTTTAATATGGCAGTCAGTGTCATTAACCACTATTGCAGCTGGGTGGCTTGTTTTGGTCTACAGGTAAAACTTTGGGTTGTACAGTACAGCAAGCATGGATACTGCATGCAAATGTTAAAATACAAGTATTCTCATCAGAATGCAAATACACCACCAATATACTTCCCCCCCCCACATACACACATGAGGGACCAGAGATACCTAGGGTTAAACTTGACTGTTCTCCTGGAACGAGTAATCCGCGTTGAAGGTATAGTGCCATTTGGTTTTACTGTAGGAGGTCTGCTCAAGAGATGCTACAGTATCTGAAACTAAAAATGCTGGTTTTAGATGATCAATGCTGATCACAGACTCTTTCTTTTTAATAAGAAAGTAAAATTTTCATGAGTTTTTTTATATTACTTTAAATGGTTGATCATGCAGGCGAGTCAGTGGTGGTTTTACTGCATCATGTTTTACAAATACATGAGTGCATGATTCTAAAAAGCTGGGTGTATGAAATACTTATTAACATGAGCTGGTGCAAGTATCAGTGCTGTCTCTCTTATTGCCTCTGACAACTTTTGTAAAAATGAAATTGGATCAGAAGAATTCGAAACTTGGGTGGGTTGCAAAAATTCTGCAGGGAGACGAATAGATGTTCCATGAACTATTTCTGAGTAAGTTTGTCCCAGATCTCCTTTCTATGTTGCTTGAAGACCAAGAAGTACGATTGGAAGGCTCATTATCCATTGGACATTATTATGGCATATTAAGGCTTGCTTTAGTGAATGATAGAATTCTCAAGTAATACATTAGCTTCAGGGTGGTATGGAGAAGTCTGAATTAGGTAAATATCAAGAATTTTATTAAGAATAATGAACAAGCGCTACTCGAATTATCAGCCATCGGTACTTATGGTAGTGGGAACTCTAAACCTAGCATTCAAAGGGATAAAAAATGCTTGAGCGACAGTTTCTGCCAAATATCCTTCATTGGTATTGCTTCCGGGCATTAGGAAAATCAGTCAATGAGGGTTAAAAGGTAAGAGTATCTTTCCGAAAGTGGCAATGTCCCGACTATATCCAAATGCGTATGTTCAAAACGTTGACCGAGTACAGCGAAAGACTGCAACGGACTGTGAGCATGCTGTATGACTTTGCACCTCTGGCAGTCAATGCAAGTACGAGTCTAAGCAACAGTCTTTTGACTATCATATATATACCTGGATGTTGGAGAACCCAACAAAAGTAATACACTATAAACAAAAAAAAGGTTGCTGTTGGAACGATCAAGTTAACATGACTGACCTGTAGTGCCCATTGAGAGGCGAAGCAGGGAGAATAATAGTAAATAATAATAATATACTTGAATGAGAAAGTTCATGGAGAAAAATACTGTCTTTCACGGTTAGGAACAAAAGGACGGATCTTGTCACCATTTCTTTTTTAATTTGGGTTTGGCAGGTATCAGGGACCTCTGCTAAATAGCATTTTGTGCCAAACGCAGCAAACCCAATGCTTCCTAGCTCCATTTGTTTGGGTCACCCTTTTTGTTTTAAACTTCAAAGTCTGACAGCCCCTGAATAGAGCTCAGGTGGAAAGGAAAGTAGGGGAAAGCATACATTTTTTTCTTATTTTATTTGTTATCAGAAGTTCAAGGTCAGTAGCCTGTTCCTCTGATAAAAATTTTTTCAGGATGTCCCTCAATGAGTACAGCCATCTTGCCCACCATAAGAGCCTCCCTGAAGTTATAACCTTCATGTCCGTCTCTCTTGGCACTCTTTACGGCTGTATTCAGCTCCATCCTTTGAAATTGCCTATTTTCTCTTTCCCCTTGGGTTTTCAACCCAAGTACCTGTCAGTTTTCAATTCTCGGCCACATTTTTTTAATGCTCCGGACATTCTCTTTTTGATTTTATCTAGAGAGGCAGTCATACTTTTAATAGCCTTTTCTTGTCCTCCATATGTTGACTGAGTAACTTGAAGTAGAGGTCATTTCTACTTCACTCAATGAAGGATTCATTTCTGCTCTTTCAACTAATTTCCTGTGGGTTTCTTTGTTTTGATAAGAAAGGTGTGCCTCAGTGGTTTTGCCTGCAAAAGCAGAATTTTTTGTTATATTGCCATTTTTAGCTACATATAACTAGGAACGAAAGTACAGGATAAAAAAGGTTCACCCAGTATCTGCCCAAGGCAAAATACTCTAAAAGTTACCAGGCATTCTAGAGGTTCTGTTAAGGCATTATAACCGTAGTGTCATTCACCCTAGGCACAGGCTGCAGAACACCGGGGTTACAGGAGAGGGTTCATGGCTTCTTATTTATTATTCGAAGCTATCCTGTCAGATAATACGGGACATTCGGCTATCTACCACCTGCTGATGTGCCTGGTAGATAGCTACTCAAGCCCCAAATTATCACTACTTATGGCACAGTATATATTGAAAACAGGGGATAGCTTCATCTTTTGCAGTTTTAATGAGCTACTTCTGTAGACAGGAATTGACTCGGTTAGTAATCATTTTGTTGAGACTCAGCAATATGTGGAAAGCTTGTTTTATCCAGCTTACTGATAGCAGCAATTCATAACAATGAATGCCACCTGCAACAATATTTTCTGGTCCAGGAATGTGTTGTGTATCAGTACTGAACTATGCAATATAATTCATAATTTTTACCTGCCTGGGAGATGCAGAATCTGAACTTTTTCTGAATAAAAATATTAGAAGGCAATAATCTGTGTATGTTGTAAAATGCTGTCCCTGTTGAAAATGCTTTACAGCGGAATTGATAGTGAGTAATTCTCTATATGTGATGTACTTAGTTTCAGCTGGAGTTAGTTTTTGAGATAGGAAAGCTAGTGGTTGAAGATGCCTATTGCATAACAAGTGCAAAACAGCTCCAATAGCCACATCTGAGGCGTCAACCATTAATGATACCCATTTACCAGGGGCGTGATAATGATGTGTCACAGCATTTGCTAGATCAGTTTTACATTTTTTAAAGGCTGTAGTTGTTTCCACTGTCCAGAGAATAGAATGTTTATCATTTTTCTTAGAATCTCTCAAAAGAGAATGAAGCAGTGCACGAGTAGTTGCAGCCTTAGGCAAAAATCGCTGATCAAAATTCAACATTGCCAAAATCTTTAGTTTGGACATAGAAATTAGTGCATTTTTTTCAGGAAGCAGCCGAATACCAGAAGATTAAACAACCAAGAAATGATAACAATGACTTTCCAAGAACACTTTTAGAAGGATTAAATTTTAACCCATATTTCCTCAGTCTATCAACAATTAAACAAATATGGTTTTCATGCTCGTTTTCATCTACTGAAGCCACAAATAGATCATCAAAGTAG